AAATTTGTTGACAATATAATACTGACATGATAAAATACTAAAGTGAGAAGATTTTTTTTAATTTTTTTTAATCACACTCAATATTATATTACTGTCAGATGGACAATATCATGATTAGCCATTTATACATACCTTATGAAGTAATCACCCTGAGAAGTCCAGTATTCATCTGACACCATACATAGTTATTAGAGTACTGTCAACTATATTCCCTAAGCTCTATTTCATATCTCTGTGATTATTTTTATTACTGGCAACTTGTAATCCTTAATAAAGGGGATGTTTTAAAGAAAACCTGCCTTATAAAGATTAAATTACCAATAGCTCTTTGTTATTGAAATTAAATATTACTAGCTGTTAACTAAATTTAATGTCCATAGTTACTGGCAGATTTTTGGTTTACAATGATAAAACACATAAGACCATACTCTTAGGAATTACTCTTGACAAACTTTTAATCAAAAGAAATGGAAATAAGATAAATTTAGCATGCTGTGACTTAATTAAACACAACAGATATGTTTTAAAAGCTTGAAAAGGGTGGGACCCAAAAGAAAAGCCTCTGAGCATGAATCCATGTTGCAAACAAGATCTAACTTGAAGATATTAGCATATCATCTGAATTCCTGAGCATGGAGTTTCAGAGACAGAATTTAAATCCAAAAAAGTCTAGTGTAATTTACTGCTCAATCTAACTTGAAAAAGAACCAAAGTTGGGAAGCTATCGTGAAGAAAATGAATACTTGTTAACTAAGCCCCAGTTTGAAGTATCTGCCTTTCATCTCGAATTTCTAGAAATTGGTCCAAAAAAAACTAAAGGCAGAAAAACAAGAAAGCATACTGTTGTTGATAAGAAACTATGTGGAGCTGAAACTGATTTGGCTCAGTGGATAGAGCATTGGTCTGCGGACTGAAAGGTCCCAGGTTCAATTCTGGTCAAGGGCATGTGCAATGGTTGCAGGCACATCCCCAGTGGGGGGTGTGCAGGAGGCAGCTGGTCAATCTTTCTCTCTGTCTATCCCTCTCCTTTCCTCTCTGTAAAAAATCAATAAAATATTTTTTTAAAGAAACTATGAGGACCTCTGGACAAGAGAAAGCAGGAAAATAGGATTAAACAAAAACAGTGCAGCTCTAAATAAATACATAGTATGTGTCAGATGAACAAGGAGGCTCTCAGCTGACACAAGACTGAAGGGGTGAACCACAGGATAGAGCAGAGCCCCAGGAAGGCCAAGCCACAGGATCATTAGCCAATACCAGAAGGGATAAACTTTCCACGTCCCATCGCTACCTCCTCACCATAGACCCAGAATCCAACAACAGCTGTAGCCACTTCCAAGTAGAAGCAATGAGTATGAGAACTCGCCAGGAGAAAATCAGTCACGCTAGGAGTTGTGACACTGTACAGATATGGTGAGCTCCACTGTGGAAAAAGGCATTTCAATAGTAATACCCAGTCGCTAGAGATTGCAGAAATTAAAAACTGACTGTTGGAAGAGAAAAATTCAGTAGCTGCAGAAATAGCTGAAGGGTAAAGTAGTGAGGAGACCAATTTTCCCATAATGCAGCACAAAAAGACAAGCAGATGGAAAACATTACAGAAAGATTGAGAGGTATGAAGGAGGAGCCAGAAGTGGAAACATTCATCTAAATAAATTAGAAAATTCTTCCAGAACTAAAGACAGGAACACTTGTCCTGAAAGGCTATGCTATATATTGACCAGAATAAATTCTTAAACACAAACATACCTAATTTCAATGTTCTAAAATTTAAGAATAACATGGATTAGGAGAAACTCTTGAAAGTTTCAAAAGGAAATGGAAAAGCAGAGGTTATTTGTCAGGAAATAAGCATCAGATTGGCCTCAAGCATCTCATCAGCAACACTGGAATACATGGAAAATCTGCAAAACCCTAAGAAGCTATTTTGAGTCTAGAACTTTATACTCAGTCCATACCACTGGGAAGAAAAAAATGCAGGCAGATTTTCCACCAAGCAAGAATGTGACGATTTTATTTTTTAAATTTCTCTGAAAAAAATATTCAGCAAAATGAAAAGCCACTCTAAGAGGAAGTAGTAAGATACAAAGATCAGTGGTACACAAAAAATAGTAAATCTTAAAAAAAAAATCAAGTAATGCCTTGGCCAGATAGCTCAGTTGGTTACACCACGGTTGTGGGTTCGATCCCTGGCTAGGACACATATAAGAATCAACCAATGAATGCATATGTAAGTGTAATAATAATCGATATTGATATCTCTCTCAATCTCTTTCTCTCAAATCAATAAATAAAAACTGGGGGGGGGGGGGGAGGAAAATAAGTAAAATCTAAAATAAAATCCCAGGTGAAAACAATGTGAGAGATGGGAGAAATAAGTAAAGAGAAGTAAAATGTCTTGTGAAGGGTTATCTCTAGATTCTTACAGAAATACATTTAAATATGTATGGTAAATATCTTATCATTATACATTTACAAAATCAGAAACACAATTTATAATATTCAAAGAATTAAGAAAAAATAAAACAAAGAACACTACCAATGAAAGAAAAAGGAAAACTAGACAAAGGGTATAAATAGGTAGTTCACTGAAGAATAAACACAATGTTCACAAGATATCAATAGCAATCAGCAAAATGCAAACTAAAAAGCAATTACGTAGCATATATTTTTAGAGAGACAAAGAATACATTTGCTAATATCAAGATATACTTTGCTGGGGTGGCTCTATATCAGAACAACCATTTTTTAAAGTGCAAGCCATATGAACCAAAAAAATATGGTTCCTACTATGTTCTCTAGAAAAACCTTTGCATCTGTCCATATGCTATTGAAACATTTTTGTAGCATTGAAAAATGGGAAGCTAAATGTCCATCAATATGGAAGATTTAATGTAATTACTTCCACAAATACCAGACAATGATTAAAAAGACTATGCTAGATCTATGACTACCCACTTGAAATGGTCACAAACAAGAAAAAGACAAGCTTTATGTATAATATAGGAATATATTTTTACAACAAAATGTATCAACATTATTTGTTCAATTATAAATAAGTAAAAAACACGTGAAAGAAAAAAAAATAACAAAAATAAAACATACAAATATGAAAATGGTAGAAAAAAGTCTGCATATTCTCCTTTTATAATGTTGCTTTTTGAAAAGCATTGGTGACCGTGAAATTAATTGTGAATGTTACCATGAATATAAACAGATCCTACTCAATCAAGCAAGCACATGTTCTCTGATGTGGATTCAAGGTTTCACTCTCATACACACAATGCATTGACTAATTGTAGAAATCATATAAAAATTATTGAAAATTGATAAATCAATCAGGAAAAAATAAGAACCAGGTCACTGCTGTGGTCCCCCTTCCACAATCACAATAGTCCATCAAGAACACATGCAGTGAGTGCATTATCAGAATGCTGTCGAGGCAACATGGCTGAAAATTAAAATCAAAGAAATAGAATGGTTTCAGGTGAGGGCAAAACAGACATCTATTAAATGCAGTTTGTGAAATCAGAGCAGGAGTTAGATGCTTTCTGTTTTTTCCTCTCAGTGGTTGCTGAACCAATGTGGTCACAACAGCCATGGGGATTTGGGAGCTGGCCAACAGGCCAGGTGACTCAATTTTGCATTTCTTGTCCCTCTAGGCAATTTCTCTCAGTGGCACAAATTTATGCCAGAAAAGAAAACAGTTACCTTCTCATCAGCAAAAGATACATATTTTTAAAATGTTTGTAATTTTCACCCTTGGCTAGCAAAGAAAGCTGAGGGAAGTTGGCAAGGGAACCAAGCCTGATGCCCCTCCCTCTCACCCCATTCTAAAACCAAAGATCTCTAGTTATTACAAAAAAAAAAAAAAAAAAAAAAAAAAAAAAATGTGGGAAGGGTAACTGCTATCTTCTAAGCTCCTTCAGGGTCAGAAATGAACATTTATCTTTCCTTTCATTACATTCTCATTAAAAAATAAGCAGCAGCTATATTTTCCTTAAATGAAAACTGACCCTAAACAATAGGGTCCTCTGAAAACAAAGAACTAGATATGTATGGTCAACATGAAGATTCCTCAGGGCAGTGGAGGACCTGTGCTACCTGGCTTTCTGCTGAGTCACCACTAGACCAGAAGATCAAATATCTTTGTGAACTGATTTAACTGGTTGACTGATTAAAATTTCAACAGAGGAATAATATGAATATGTGAGTATTGTAGACGTATGTCCCAGAAGCCCTTAGCGGTAAAATCCTCACAGTCACCCTTGGATTCTACTTCCCTATAAACACACTAGTCCTCACAAAGAGCTGTGATTTCATCACATAGTGCCAGTTTAAATTCTGAAGGTGTGAATGCTGAGGAAAGGGGTGGGGACAAGGGTAAAGGAAGAGATTTTAAACTTAGACATGGGATAAAAGCACTTATAAAGGAAAATCTGAGGAGCACCATCAAGAGACATAGACATCTGGCATCTGGATTGAATTGCATTTTCTTATGCTTCCAAGACACTTTATCACCTTGAAATCCTTCCCTTTTCATGGCCTGAGGGCCAACCAAGTATTTATGTGGCCAATGGAGTACTACATTCTTAGCAGATACTTTTTGGATGGATGGATGGATGGATGGATGGATGGATGGATGGATGGATGGATGGATGGATGGATGGGTGGATGGATGGGTGGATGGGTGGATGGATGGATAGATGGATGAACAGGCGAATGAACAAAGAAACAAAGGAATAAAGTGTGTGCTTTTTTTCTCTATATACTTTAAAGTCATTCATTCAAAATTAATATTCTACTTGCAAAAAATGTTCAGCAAAGTTGCTCCCAAATGATTTCTCCATACTGCACACAAATGTAGCCCAACTTACTGGAGACATAATAGCATACTGTATAAAATCTGGGTAGTGGTAATCTTCCCAGACTCTCTACCACACCAAAGCAATTAGAATAAGTAATAGCAACTAGAACTCATTGACTTGAAAGTGAATTACCACAATTGGGGATCTGCAGGTTCGCCAGGGGAATATTCTTGCTGCTTTCATTTAGGCAGTACAAATCCTGAGTGTCTGGACTGGTTTTAGTCTCCTGAAGAGTCTTGATCCACATAATATCACAGGAGCATGCGAATGGATTGCCCACCAAGATCCTACATGAAACAAAAATGAAACTCAGTCAGGCTTCTCTTTTTTAATTTTAACTACATTCATGCTCCTGAAGCATTACAAAAATATGAATTCTTTCTAGCCAGCCATGTTTGAAAGTCATACCCATCTTTAAACATAACTACTACTTATTATTTGTTAATTTATCTAATGCTTACTGAGCTTCTGCTGTGTGCAAATACCACTGTAAAGGCTAAAAGATGAAAAGTGATGTTAAAGCCTTTCAGAATAATAGGGAAATAAGATAAGGACAGAAATATTTGTAATGTAGATAAAAGAGAGTGTGTCTCATAAAACGGGGGGAAATAAGGTGCTGTAACAAATTAATCACTATGATTATACAGTTGTTAAGAAGATTTTAAGTGAAGATGCCAACAGTAAGTTTTCAGAAATACTAACATACTTATTTCTGGTCAGGCTGAGATTGAAGTGTTATTTAATAAGCTCAAACTTCAGGGGGCGGGGGCAGAAAAAGTGTCATCTTCATTTAAAATGAGACTGTAAATCCAATGCTAGGACTGAAGTGTGAGAGCTAATCAGGTGGTGCTCACAGCTTTCTGCAACCACAGTTAGTTTGATTGATGCAAGAAAGGTGGAGTGAATGTGAGAGAGAGAATCTGCAAGGGAGCTCTTGGACCTCTGGCATGCATGTGCGCAGGTGCTCACATGGCTACACACACACACACACACACACACACACACACACACACACCCCAAGCCTCAGGAGTTCAGAAAGCAAGAGCAGTAAGCTCCAGATTGAGCCTCTTAGCCCACTGTGAGAAGGTCTGCTGAGAGAAAGCCACCATTCAGCCGTGCTGCCTGAACTCCTGTGGCCTCGACTGGTGAAGGAGGAAATAGTCAAGAGGAAAAATAAAAACCACAAGAAAAAATCTTTAAATGTTTATTTATAATACTCAGTGGCCTATTTAAGATGAATTCCATTTATGGTAATGAGCCTTTAAATGAGGCCATTTAAAATCGTTACATAGGCTCTGCCTGGAATTAACCACAATACTTAAGATTTCTGTGTGGACCGGACCTAGGCTTTGCAGCACCATTTACTCCTGTGGTTTTCTGGTCGGGTTCTAAGAATCTCGGGGATCCCTAGAGACTTTTCTGGGAATTTCTTTGGGGAAATGTGGTCATGGCAGACTCTTTAATTTGTGTCTGCTTGATGGCCTCTGAGTATCCCTCCAACGCCAAAATAAGATTTGATGCGACTGGATATGGAATACAATGCAGAGGAGATCCACAATGTTTAAACCCCACCAATTCAAGCTATTTCCTGGCAGTCTGAGTACATGACAAACTAAAGAATCATTCTAAAAAGAAAATCTGATTGAATCATCAGAGAGGATAAAGAAGCCAGGGGTTCTTCAGTTATACATACAACAATATTCCGAGGACCACAAAATGCCGATGGACAACTGGCTTCTTCCCCTAGCTCACTGTGCAAACTCCTTTTGCAGCGATTATCACTACATGTGCATGTCTGACTTCTACCTCTCCCACCACATAGCAGAATCCTGGACCACAGAGATCTATCGCCATGGCCCACTGCCATGTTACTTCGATTTGTAATAGGCGCACAATGACCATTTGTTGAATGAACTCATTAAATATGTTGAAAGGAGAATATTGAGACATGTGAATTTGGAATCAGAACTCTAATTTCTAACCAAGCAAGAAAATTTTCTGCAGTGATGTTTAAAATTTTTACAGAGTATCTTACTCTATTTCGTGGATCTTCCTTAGGTTTTTAATTTGTCTACTCCTGTGTCAGAAACCTAGTACTTCGACTACCTGAATTCAGTTTATTCAAAATCATTGCCAATCACTAAGACTTTCTTCATGTAACCTTCATTGCTACCAATTAGCTTGCTGACACCCCACTGGTGACATCTTCTAATCTGCCCAATTTCCTTGTGAAGAGGGTGGATCCTACATCTTAGGCCATATACAGTTTAAGCAAAAGCTTTGCTGGTATTCAAAGGCCTTGTCCATTTTGGCCCACCTCTGCTCCACAGAATCTCTGCTGCGGGGTTCTTTGGGCACCTTAACCAAAGGGCTGTAAACAGTTTACATCTGTTTCATGGTGATAACACAAAAATTGAATACACTTGGAAATTCTGACTATTAGTCACAACACATTTAAATATTTTCCCCTCCATTACAAAATAAATGTATGTAAAAACATTTAAACTCATCAGAAACAACATGTTACTATTGTGGTTTCTAACTGTTATTACTCAATCCCGTCTTCTTAAGTGAAAAAGCAAACAAGTAACTAAAACTTAAGAAATCATTTTTCAAGATTTTTTTACATAAAAATAGATCTGTAGCATCACTCATTTAAAAATATACTTAATTGCCCTTTTCCTTGAAAAAAATTTCCCCAAACACAAAATCATTACTTACAGCTCAGACAAGTCAAGGTGACGGAAATGTTTCCTAGACAAACTCGTCAGTTTATTTCGAGTAAAATTGCTGAAAGGAATAAAAAAGATTAGATGTGAATCTAAAATGATATATTTCAGAAATAAAGTATTCAAATTGAGAATTTTTTTCCACAATATAATTTTATTTGCTCATGGTCCATGCATTACTTAAACCCAATCATCTCTTCCTTTTACCAGAAGTGATAGTTTAGTTTTTCCTGCTTCTCCTATATTTTTTGCCAATTAGGGGTGGAAGAGACAATGGAGCATCATTTTCCTATTGTCTATATTAAGTCTCTTTTTTACACAAAAGCTTATTTTTCATATGCTGATTCAAAGCCAAGTTATATACCTCCTAGAGATTTCTGACCTTTGAACAACTAATAGAAAGATTAAATTTAATTTAATTTAAAACCATAGACTCACCAGAGAGAAAAGATGCTTTAAAATGAAAGTGTCATGAATATTTTGAAATCTCATGACATACAGAACGTTGGATATGAAGTGGATTTAACACATTTTCATAGGGGGGGGGAGGAACAGCCATTAACTAATAAACTCTGCTGAGATCATTTCTATAGGATTTCTAATAACCAGATAATGCCATGAAGAGAACAACAGAAGATTATGAGGAGTATGTCAGAATTTTTCTTGAATGTTCTAATGACATGTCATTTTAAGATTTGGACCAATCAAATAAAAGATGTCATATTTGTTATGGAAAAAATAATACTGCATTTACCTACATATTCTAAACATGTAGTCTTTTCAATGGGCAGGAGTTTGTTTCCAATGATCAATGCTATGAGACCTTGATTTAGGAAATTCCAAGCCATAATCCTGACAGCTGACTCTCTCTGTGAATTTGTTTACTAGTTGAATTTATTTAAAAATGTCCAGTGATTGAACCTGTAGACATGTGTTTAGTAAGTAATATGAAAATAAATAAACACCAACTTTTACAAAAACAGCCAACACCTCAGCAAGCTGCAATGAGCCCTTCACTATCTGTTTCCTGCTCAGGAGAGTGAGTGTTGGGCTAAGAGTCAGATGAGAATGGGAGATCTGAGAGTGACTGTAATCCTGGACCCTGACCTGAGGCTGGTCAAACAGTGTAACAAAATCATAAGTTAAAAGTATCTGGGTATGTTTGACCAGTCACTTTCAGAAAGGGGTTACAACCCAGGAGCTAATGCATGATCTCAAACTAGACAGTTGATGAATATAGAAAAGGCCACTTTTGTGCCTCAGAATTCAAGGGTGTGTGTGTGTGTGTGTGTCCACTCCCACCTTATTCTATATTGACATTTCCACTCACCCAAACCCCTCCCTACACAGGGTACCCCCTTCCTTCTACAAATGCATCTTCTCTTTTCACACGGAGTGCGGAATGCTCTCTTGACTTGAAAAAACCCTTTGCCAGGAAGTTAAAAATGTGCCTACATAAATCTTTTCTTTTGGAATGTGAATTAAGAATGGCTTTCATTGAAGTATTATACATTGAAAAGTCAATCTGCCTATCTTCCCCACAGTCTTGGAGACACAAATATTTTCATCTTCATCAGCAATTCCAATCCTTTAGGGGTGGGGTATGGATGAGGGGAGGTGGGAAGTATAGGGGAACCTGCTCTTCCTTCCAAGAAGAACAGGAGAGAGGAGCAAAGAAAATGATACTTATTGTCAAGGTTCCCTGGTCAGCCAGCGAGCCGGCACCAGGGCGCAGCTGCCCCTATTGGGCTGCCAGCAGCACAGCCCAGAGCTGGGTTACGCGCCAAAGAACAAGATGAGTTTTATGAACCATACTTATTATTGGGGCCAAAAGCCAAAAAGAAGGAGGAGGAGAGAGGAAAAAATCCACAATCCTCTTACTGTTTGATTATAGGACTTTGCAAAGGAGCTAATTAGCACCTCTGCAAAGCCCCTGGAAAACACAAATGCTGGCTTTTCTCACAGCCTCTTGGTTCTCAGGGGCCAGGAAGCACCAAGAAATAAACTCAGTGACCAGTCACAGGGCCTCTGGAGAGTCCCCAGGCCTGCAAATATGAGGAGGGTGGAGGGAAATGGGAAAAGTGAGAGACAGGAGCCAATCTGAATTTCCTTAAATCCAAAGTGCAGTGCTCTTGTGCAGGATTTTATGCTGTAGAAGAAACTAGCAGAGATAATGGGCATTTCCCAGGGACATCAAGAAATAGCTTCTGATACACATTTTCTTCCCAGCTCACTATCACCCGGGATGCTGACATTCAAGTTAAAGATGAAATTTACTTATGGGAAATCAGGGGAGAAGAAGCCAGTTGCCCCAAATCCTTGATCTTAAACAGAGGTTGGGACTAAGTAAGGTCTGGAAAGGCAAGCACTTGACTTGATTCTCTCCTCCCTCCCCACCATTCTGAAAAGCCAACAACTTAATTTAATTCCTTATTTGGGTGATTAGAGCCTCTTTCATGACACAAATCAATGAAGCTTATGGAAATTTTATGACCCCTTCATAACAGTTTGAACACTAGCCTTCCTGTGTAACTATGCCTACAAATATCAATCAAGTTTCTGCAGTCTGCCCAATGACTGGGCTTCCAAATTATTGGCTTTTAATGAAACTATATAGGATGTGCCTATTTCATTGGTTTCCTATTTTCAAATGGCACCTGTTTGGAAGACTGAGACAAATGAGCCAGGCTGTATATATAGAATGCCGTTAAAAGTATTTTACCCTGTAGTACCAAAAATACACAAGGTAGCTTTGGTTTCCTAGAAATAGCTCGCAACAAAAATAGGAGGGAACATATAAGAAGCACAATAAAGACATAAACTAGTCTATTATTACTAACACTACAATTAATCATAGCCCACTACACAAAAGTCACAATAGCAGGGGAAATGATTTGGTAAAACAGCCAGTAAAATGTGGCTGTTGAGCAATTAGGGTCTAAAGTCAGGTGTAATGAAAATACTGGAATTAACTAGTGAGGTCATCAATACATGTACGTGACTGCATTATGGCATTTTGCCTTTTTCTTCTCTCCAGCTTCTCTCTTGTTTGTGCTGTCAAGGCCTACGCAGCCACCAGACTTGTGCAGGCAAACTGACTAAAGAGATGGTGCCAAACAGCATTTAATGAAACATGTTAATAAAGTTCCTTGGAATTTTGTCACATTTTTGCCAAATGCTTTTTATCTTAATTCCATAGGCTTTATTTTTAAATTGACTTTCTCATTAACACCACCTATAAAATATGAAGTCAACATAGTGGCTTTTTGAAATTAAGGTTTTTTGTAGTATCAACAAATCTCCATAGAGAGCCCAGGCAATCTTCTCTAAGAGAATGATTTATTTTATAACCAGCTGAAAATCAGTTGGGGAACTAGTCCCCCCAAGAAAAGAAAGAGGACAGATGTTACCAGAATGCTGATGCTTGAATCTTAGGGATGACACAGATTTTATTTCCTGTACTCTTATTGGAAGAACATGGCCAGGAGCGAACCCTGGGGTCAGAATTCTGTCACTTCCAATCTCTGTGCCTGAGAAAGTCCAACATTTTCCTCAGTCTGATTTTCCGTCTATGAAATGGGAATAACAATAATTTTCCCTACCACTTAGAAAAATCAAGTGAGATAATGCTGGTGACTATGAGACACATAAGGTATTGTTACAAATAATTTGCAAAACACCAAAAGGCCAATGAATGCAGGCAACATTCCTCCAACAGAAGGTCCCACTGAAAATCAGGACATGGGGACACCAGTCTGAGCTTAGGAGTAGGTGATTCTCTGTTTAATGATGAAACCTTTTAGAAACAGCACACCTACTAAGTGCCAAAATCTAACAGGATTTAGCAGCCAGCAGCCTAAGAGCTCCCATTGTCCCTATTTATTTACAACTGACTTCAGCTGATAAAGCTTCAACATGACTTCAAGGGAAACATTTGCTATTGTTAATAATAATTGTTTGAACCTTTGGATTGTCCCATAACAGATAGATTTTTTTAAAAAAATGAAATTTCAAAAGAGGATCTATTGGGGGGCAAGGCATTAGTAACTGTGAGCTCCCTGAAAAGGCCATGGCCAAGCCAGTGTCTTTCCATTCCACTGGTGTAATGTCTTCCAGGGAACATCATGAAAAGAATCCATGACATAGTTTTCACATCAGATCTTGCCTTGGCCTATTGCTCTGTCCAAGATGGAAATGGCCAAAGAATTCATGAAAGGGAATAAACAGGCTCTTCTAAGACCCCTCTAAAGCTATGATATTCAGAAGTCAAGGGTAATGATTCTAAGCTATTGTCGCAGTTATACTGATTTTTTAAAAGTGGTGTTAGAGTTGGAAAAGAAGGAATATAAGCAGAAAGGACAGATTTTTTAGAAAATTGGGCCTGGGAAAGCAAAGGACAACCATTACTTACATGTGCTGTAAGTTGCTGTTTTTCAGAAATGCTTTATGAGCCACAAATTTTAATCCTGAATCCACAATTGTCCTATGAAAACATAATTTCACACATGTTAGAACTAACCGATGAATGCCACCTAACTGTAATAGAACGTAAGAAGACCTTCTGAGATTAAGTACACAAGTCCTGAATACTCACAGATTTTTCAGTCCCACATAAGCTTCAACATCATCCTCGTTGATGATTTCTAACCTTTTCTGATTTGCAATGTAACTGCAAAAAAGCAGAAGGTAAAAACAATTGACTCAGAAAATAGAACATAAAGAATAGATCACATTCATACAACCTTACCACAGTGCACAATGTGATCTTTCCCACCCAACCTAACCTAACCATGTTAAAAACAAAAACAAAAAATCAGCTAGGGAAGCCAAGGTGAGTGTGATTGAGAAGAAACCAGGATTAAGTAGGTGTCAAGGTTAATGACAGGTTCACCAGGCTTCATTTTTTTCACTCTTTCAACTAACAATTTTAATTTCCCTCCCCTTTCACCCTGTGCATAGAGGTGAAAATAACTTGGAAATGCATTATTCATTTCCAAGTCTCTCAAAGGCAGTTCACCCTTATGGCAACAGCCACAGGGATGCTGGCATCATCACAAGCAAGACAAATCACACCTTCCCTTACATTCCAAGAGAAGCAATCACTCCCTCCTTTTAGCTCCTAAAACATTGAAGCAGATTCCCTTCCCCTTTTCTCTCTCTCCCTCCCTTCCTCCCCACTTTCTCTTTTCCTGGCCCAGCATCCCTCCCTCTGCCTTTGTCAGTAACAAAACAATTTTTCCTTTCAGGAAACACATTTCACAAACCCCACATGGCCCTAGTGCACTCTCTGTAAGAACCCTCCTCTACATCCCAAAGCCTCAAATATAGGAATAAACTGGGGCTCTGGCTGGACAGAGAATTTCATCCCTTTGATCAGGATGAATGACTTAGAGTTGGTCATGTGACCTCAACTAGGCCAATGAGAATCCTCCCTAAAATTAAATAGATGAATGCTGGTCCAGAGTCACTTTCTTTCTTTCTTCTTTCTTTCTTTCTTTCTTTCTTTCTTTCTTTCTTTCTTTCTTTCTTTCTTTCTTTCTTTCTTTCTTTCTTTCTTTCTTTCTTTCTTCCTTCCTTCCTTCCTTCCTTCCTTCCTTCCTTCCTTCCTTCCTTCCTTCCTTCCTTTCTTTCTTCTCTCTCTTTCAATCTCTCTCTCTTTCTCTCTCTCTCTCTGAAAAATTACACAGTCTGTGGTTTCATGTGAAAATTTTCTGCCACGAGGGAACTATCCAGGAATAAATTCATACACAGAAAAGAGACAGGAGATACAAAAACAAAAAAACAGAACACTAAAAATGTCACTAGAACCTTTGAATCCAGGCATCGCTGAGGTCAGATGCCACTAAGTAAAGTTTGTTCTGAATTTCTGTCACCTGTGTCCAAGAATACAGACCCACAAACACAAAGCTATTAAAATTGCCTTTATGGAATTTCCTTGTGATAGTTAGTCAAGAACTTGTCTGTCCATTTTTATTATATCAAAACATCTTTGAAGACAGTGGCTCCTGTTTTACAGTTCTTAATATACACCATAGCATCTACCAAAGTACCTTGCGCAAGACAGCTATTCAACAGATAAAGGATGGATGGATGTATATCCTAATGGATGTATGGGCAACCTTAGAGCTCTAAAGTCACTATAAGAAGTTGTTCTGTGATGCATTTTTCTTTCTTTTTCATTAAGATAAATAATATATTCCAATTAAGATGCTGAAAATAAATATATAATCCTGCTGTTACCAACATGAGTTAAAATGCGGAAAAATTAAAAAGTAACCAATTGGGGAGAAGATGCAGTATCTATAGGTCCCTTCTACTTAACCCAAAAATGAAACAAAAAGTATTTATGGTAAGAGTTATGGCACCCATTTCTGACCAAAATAGAACCTGGGACCCTTTGGTCTACAAGTTGACACTCTATTTAGCTAGGGCCAAACCAACTAGGCTTTTGTTTTGTTTTTCTCACCCATTTTTTTTGTTAATTTTCACCCAAGGATATTTTTCTGTTGATTTTTAGGGAGAGTAAAAGAGAGAGGGATAGAGAGAGAAACATTGATATGAAACACATCAATTACACCAGATTTTTAGTTCATAAACTCCCTAATTGTACTCGATAAAATACAGCTAGCATAAATAAAAATGGAAGTCATACAAAAAAGAGAAGCAAGGGCAGAGTCATCAACAGAGCCAGAAATTAGGTTTTAAAATGTGTATACTTGTTAGAAAAAAGCCACAAGCTTATTTCTAGATTTTCTAGTCACCCATACCCAAGAAAAGAAGGAATGGGACATAAATTTGGTCAACGGTAAATTTATAGTGTTCATGAGAATAAAGTAAGTCAGACATTAAGCAAAACATAACTGCTCCTGGATCTAAGACTAGACAGGCGATTTTGTGGAAAACCATCAAAAGAACCATATAAAATTATGGAAAAAATGGTCACTAGAGAATACTCTTTCACTGTGGAGACAGGAATTTCCTAGATAAATAATGATTTTTTTTCCTCCTGTTTAAAATGGAAAAATCAACAGAACTGGTTTAAAAGGTTGGCAAATGTCCTCGCAGATGCTCAGGAATTCCCCTTCATAAGTTACCATCTGCAAAGATGCCACATGATAGCTGCTTGTTATAAAATGATCATGAAATCTACCCCTAAGAACTCTCCTTCACTCCCATTGAGGAATCACATAACTAGAAAGGAAGCCAGTGAAATTAATAACAATTGACAAAGGGGAAACTCTATATGGCCAAGAAACATATAAAAACTGCTCACCCTACAAGGAATCTGAAATACAAATTAAATAATGACATACCATTCCTCTCACAATAGAGTGACAAAATGTTTAAAGATTAATAATATAGAACATGTCTAAGTATGTGAAAATTTCTCTTACATTTTGGAGGGATAAATTGGTATAACCATTTTGAAGAGCAATTTATCAGTATCCTAGAAAATTATAAATTGGCATACTTCATAGCCCAGTCATTCCATTTCCAGGTATTTACCCAAGAGAAACTCTTACACATGTACACAAGGAGACATATACATGAATATTCTTTATATTTATGGTAAGAATCAAAACTTGGGAACAACCCAAGTGTCCATCAATCCAGAAACTACTCAGCCATAAATAAAAAGATGAAACGTTGTCATTTGTGACAATATAGATGGATCTTGAAGGTATTATGCTAAGTGGAATAAATCAGATGGAAAAGGACAAAAATCTTATAACTTCACTCATATGTGAAATATAAAACAAAAAAGTAACAAAACAAATAAAACCAGACTCACAGATACAGACAACAGAATGCTGGTTACCATAGAGAGAGTGGTAGGGAGATGGTGAATTAGGTAAAGATGCATGGTAACAGAAGGAAATTATGCTTTGGGAGTGAGCATACAATAAAATATGCAGATATCAAATTATAATATATTCCTTGAATTTATATAATGTTATTTGCCAATTTTATTTTAATAACTTTAATTTTTTTTAAAAGCTCAGCTGGTGTTGCTCAGTGTTTGAGCATCAACCTATAAACAGGAGGTCACAGTTTGATTCCCAGTCAGAGCACATGCCCAGGTTTTAGGCTCCATCTTGTGTGGTGTGTGACAGAGGCAGCCGAACAATGATTCTCTCTCATCATTGATGTTTCTATCTCTCTCCTCCTCCCTTCCTCTCTGAAATCTATAAAAATATATTTTAAAATAAATTAAAAATAAATAAACTTTAAAAACAGAAAAGAGTAGATGTGTTAAATTCATAAGTTGAATTGAACCAGATCTTTATATTTGAGCAGAAAGTAATCTTCATGCTAAATGAGGAAAAATGCATAATAATATATGCATATAATATAAAACAACTAGTGCAAATTTTAAAAAAGGTATTTAATTTATGGGAGTGACATTGGCTAATAAAATTACATAGGTTTCAAGTATACAATTCTATAATGCATCATCTGTATATTGTACCCATAGTCAAATTTCCTTCTGTCACCATAAACTTAATTCCCTTTACTCTCTTCTACCTGCCCTACCCCCCTTCTCTCTGGTAACCACTATACTGTTGTGTGTGTATATGAGTTTTTGTTGATTTGTTGTTTATTTGTCTTGTTTTTTTCAAAAAATATACAGAAAACAATGAATAATATTCATAGTAAGCTATACATGTGAAGTATTTAAAAAATTGCAAGTGAAATCACTTTGGGAAAGGAGAATGGGTCTGGGATTAAGAAATAAGCTGTTAAAGTATTTTATTAAACTACTAAACTCTTTTATTAAAAGAGAAAAAGACTTATAGCAACAAAGAACAAAATGTTGAAGTGTTAGTGCTGAATATAAGTACATGAAGTTATTGTTATGTCATTGTGTGTTTGGTTTTTCTTTTTCTTTTAAAAATTTATGAAGAGGGAAGAAAAGAAGGGAGGGAGGAAGGGAAGAAGGAGAGAAAGAGGTAGGGAGAAAAAGAGATAACGAAATGCACAGAAGTGAAATGACTGCAGGGAAGCTGAAATCCAGGGTTTCTCAGTTGCTCAGTGAACAAATATACCTGAGTCTAAGTTCTAGTTCCCTGGACCACCAAAAGGCAGAAGTCTGAAAACCTTCTGCTCCCTGCCCCAGAACTGCTCCACAGGAACCAGGAGACTAAGGAGCTGGGCTGCCCCCTACTGGTGATTTCCACTTCCAGGAGGATCTTGACAACATCAGGTCTTCAGAAATCTCCCATCTCATTGCACTGCTCAGTGACCACCCCAGGGTCAAGAAGGAGAGAGGAAGAGCCAAGTCAGAGAAGATAAGCGAAAGATGCGACACCAGCTTTCCCCCCCACCCAGAAAACCATTTCCAATCACTCCAGTCAGAATGCTGTCAAACTCTGAGGCTCTGTACTGAGTCAAGCTTTGCTTAATAAAACACATCTCTGAGAACAGTTTCATTCCTGGCAAAGCAGAGGAAAGGCCCAGCATTTTGACACAGGCCTTTCTCAAAAGCTTTCTCTCCATGACAATCTTAATTCCCCTAGCCATTCCCCAGAGCCCATGTCCCAGTGCTTGTTCCAATAAGAATCTCATGAGTTCAGCAGAATTTTGGTTCTTCATGGAAAACCAAGCTTCTGCCCTTCCAACCTGCAAAGGTTGCTTTCATTCTATTTTAGGGAGATCGGCAGCCTTTGA